CGTTGAAGGGGCAGATACTTTTCCTCTTCATTAATACTTGTTTCACATGAAAGTGCTGCCTGACCCACGCAGCGGTGCGGCCCACCGTTACGGACGCGCAGCGGTGAAGGTCCCGTACTCGCCTACACATGCGGCCCTCTCTGCGGAAATGACAGCGGGCGATCTTCAGCTGGAGCTTCAGAATGGGGACTGACATTTTTAACAGAATTGATAGAGCACCAAAAAAGCCTTCTACCTGCCACAAGCAGTCAGTGGGACTGATGGCACGACTGTTTTCCTGAGTCACTTAAATTTAAGGTGCAGTAAGAAAAGAATCAAGCATTAAGTCCTAAGAAAAACAACTCCCTGGAAAAGAAAGATGTCAGGCAGCTTTATCGGAGAGGAAACTCTTGGTCACGTTCATCCTAGGGATTCTTAAGAAAGAACCAACCCCTGGAGGAGCTGCAGGCACCTGGGAGAGCTTGGGGGTAGGGCAGGGGTAGTCCCAAGGCAGTGCAGCCAAATGGCCACGGCCACAAGGCTCATGAGAATAGCATGTCATTATTCTAACAAATGAAACCCAGGTTATAAAGCACCCTCTTCTCAGATCTAGAAATCCTTTCTTATTGCTTATATCATTTTAATCACAATGTCACTTTACAACAAGAAGAGGCAAGCATCAGGAAAAGTGAGATTCAAAGTACCTAAGTGACATGGTCAAAGCTCAAGGGTGAAAGTGGACAGTCCTAAAAGAGAACCTGACAGACTAGAACCCGACCTGTAAGCCATACTATGTCTCTTTCCTGAAAAATTGAATTACAACAGCCTCATCCACAGTTATTTAACAGAGGACAAGGCGATGACTGCTGCCTTTCATTTTCAGAGCAATACACTACTTCCCAGTGTCTTCTGCTGCACAGCGAGCCGCACATTTGCTGATGGCACTTGAGAATGTTACCCCACAAATAAATGCGTGCTGTTCTCACTCAGCTGAACACAGGCCCCGTGAAGGGAGGGAATTTGTCTCTTCTGCTCACCGTCGTATTTACAGGAACTAGAGTAGTGCCTGGCAACAGGATATTCAATATATTTTTCCTGGATTCATTACTTACTTATTCAGAGCCCAAAGAGACAGAGAAAATGTATGCATCCAAAAATAAGCCACTGGCAAAGGCAGAGTGACTACCACCGAAAAGTATTTTCTAAAGTCACGTGTCTATTAATTAATAATATCTATTACTACAGAAATATCTAGATATATAAAAGATGCTAAAGAGTAACAGTCTTTAAGACACAAAAGGGTAAGTTATTAATTTCTGCAGTCAAGAAAACAAGTTCCAAATTGTTTTTAAAATATGAATTCACTTCAGAAAAATGTACTGCATGTTTTA